GGTGACAAAGCCCTAAGGTAAATTCAACAGTTCGCCCTTCTACATTTTTTTTTTTTTTAAAGATTAGGAAAGCTAGGCTGACAACTTCCACAAAGACTGAAGCAGTATTATGTTCTTCTGTACTAAAATAGAACACCCACAAGGAAAAATAATACAGAGTTTTAGCTCACAATAAGATATTGAAAAAATAAACCATACTGGCATATTTAGTATAGGATATGCTATATCCTATAGCATAGGATATGAACATGGACCTGATTTCTCCTATCAATTTCTAAGGAGTTTTAGAACCAATATTTTAAATTAGTACATTCCATATACATTGTATTCTTAGTTCTCTAAGACCAAATTTTGTCACCACCACCCACCATGCCAGCATCTCTATCTTGTTGTCTTGCCTTTAGTTCAGGTAACTGTTTATAATCTGAAATTATCTTTTACATGTGGTTGTCTGGTTGACTTGTTAGAATTAAAACATCATTCCATCGGGGACTTTATTCTTATCAGTGTAATGCCAGCATATAAATACAAAAACTATTTCTCGTTAAATAAAACAAAAGTGACCTATTAAATGTCTTTTCTCTACCAATGAAGTGGAAAACTGTAGCACTTATATTTTTCATGGTGATACATTTTAATTAAAGATAGTATTTGTCAAGTATAGGAAATGTATAAAATCCAGTGAGTGTATTTGTTAACAGTGTCAAAAACTGATATTTTGCATATGAATATTTTCTGTAATTGTTAATTAGACATACTACTTTACTGACTTCTACCTCATAAAGCCTCCAAATGTTAGGAAAAATCATGATTTGACAAAAAGCATATTCTACATCTAATATGGAAAGGAAAAGGTGATTGCATATCTGTACTATTTTTAAATGTAAAAAAGATATCAACAAATAATAATATATTTGATACTTATATGACTAACTTAGCTGTAGCAACTACAATAAGAGACTGACTACTTTGTTCTTCTATATTAGCAATCTTATGTTTAAAGGAAAACTAAAGACCACTTGAAATAATCATCATTTACTAGGGTTTTAGAAGAGGTATTTCACTTTGGTGAGGATATTATAAGTTTAGGTGCTCTGAAATTTGGGATATATCCCTAGATTCGTTAAAATTCCATGGGCTACAGGAAAAAAAGAAATTCAAAGTTGATTTCCAAAATTTTCAAGTGTTTTCAAAAGTAGTGTCCTACCTGATAACTTTCTTTCCTATCAAATGACTTTCCGACTAAATATATTAAAATATTCACAAATATAGAGTATGTAAAGATACACTGTCTTAAAGTATTTATTTAATATTATCTATATAAATTAATGTTGCCCTGACTATCCTTTGAAGAGCACTCTCCTGGGAAATGTCAAACTGTCTGGCACATAAGGACCTTAGCATTTTTGGGGGAGCGTCTATCAAGTGAGAACCCTACAGCTATTGAGACCCATGTTTGGGAAGATATAGCATATAGTTTTATAAGGTAATTCAATAGGTCAAATAAGATAAGCTCTATGATTCCCAAAAGATGCAAAAGAAACCTTTATTTAAAAAAATTCATATCTACCTTATTACCCTCTGTAGGAAACAGGATGAAGTTTCCTCAAAAAGTTAAAAATAGAACTACCATATGATCTGATCCAGTAATCACACTACTGGGTAATTATCCAAAAAATACAAAAACATTAATTCAAAGGGATACATACACACCTATGTTTATTGCAGCATATTTACAATAGCCAAACTATGGAAGCAGCCCAAGGATCCATCGATTGATGAATGGATAAAGAAGAGGTGGTGTATATATATATATATATATATACACACAATGGAATATTATTCAGCCATAAAATCTTGCCATACACAATGACATGGATGGAGCTAGAGAGTATAACGCTAAGCAAAACTAGGGAAAGACAAATATCATATGATTTCAATCATATGTGGAATTTAAGAAACAACAACAACAAAACGAGCAAAGGAAAGACAGGGTTGGGGGGGTGGGGAGAGGCAAACCAAGAAACAAACTTTTAACTATAGAAAACAAACTGATGGTTACCAGAGGGGAGGTGGGTGAGGGTATGGGTGATGGGGATTAAGGAGGGCACTTGTCGTGATGAGCATTGGGTGTTGCATGGAATTGCTGAATCACTATATTTTACACCTGAAACTAATATTACACTGTATGTTAACTATACTGGAATGAAAAGAGAACTAACCTTCTCAACAAAAAATTACCTATGTGAAAGCAATATAAACCAATTATTAACCATAACTGATGGGTAAGTATTAGAACAGTTTTGATAAATTTCAAAAACAGACCCTAGTATATGAATAAGTAAGAATTACAATTAAGTGGAGCAGAATAGTATTATGAATAACTGAAGCTAGAAAAATAATCGAAATGGATATAAAACTGCTGTAAAGATGACTAAATTTAAAGATAAGAAAAATCACAAAAGCAAAAATTATAAAACATTTTTATATATCCAGATATAAAAAAAAGTGAGAAAATATACTTAAAAGGTAAATATTGATGCTCAATGAGCTAACATGTGTAAATCAATAAGAAAAAGACTAAGACAACACAATTCACAAAGAAGGAAATACAAATGGACTGTTAAATACTTGAAAAAATGTCCAACTTCATCAGTACTCAAAGAAAGGCAAATTAAGATAAAACAGAACTTTCTACTTTATTAACAAAAATCTTTAAAAATGACAGTATTCAACCAAAGTGTGTTCATAAACTAATACTAAAAGCGGGTGAAATTAGAATAATACTTTTGGAAATCAATTTGGCAGCATGCATCAAAAAGTCTTGAAACTTTATCCTAATAATTACAAATATTTGTTAGCCATTATGCATAAACATATCACACTGAAAAGACGGAAATAACTATTGTTCTATGACCTCATTAAGACTAATGCAAATTAAATTAGATATGACATACCCAGTGAATGCAATGACACAGGTATTGCAAATGACAAATTAAGAATCATAAGAATAACAGGAAACATTCAGAAAGTACAGCAAGACGCTAAACAGCATATTCAGTACTATCATATGGCTACTATTAAAAGGTAGAAAATTTTAAAACTGAAAGAAAGATGTGCCAAAATATTAACAGGGATTTTTTTTTTTTTGGATGGGACGATTATGGGTAATGGTCTTTCGATCAATTACTTTTTAGGTGTTTTCTGTAACACAGCCGTATTATTTTTAAATTGGAAAAATAAAATGAACTTCGTTATTCTTAAAAATAAAATGCCTTCCCACCAACAGTGTAGGAGGTGGGTATTAAAGAGGGCACATACTGAATGGAGCACTGGGTGTTATACACAAACAGTGAATTATGGAACACTACATCAAAACTCATGAAGTAATGTATGGTGATTAACATAATAAAATAAAATTGAAAAAAAATAAAATGCCTTCAGGAGAAAGGAAAATTTAAATGAAAACATTACTGAGATTACATTGGATCTAACATTTCATTAAAATTTTTGTTTCCTACCAGGTTTTAACTTTCCAGGTTGATAGAAGAGAACTGCTGAGAGGCTCTGTATAGGCAGACCAGAGGGTCTGGGCAAAACCCACAAATACAGCCCATGTGCTTGCTATCAAGTAACTCATCCAGATGACACTTTGGCCGATACTAAATGAACTAATGTTCTAATATAAGAATGTCTGGTAAATTAGGCGTAGTCAATTATTTTAAAATGATTTCCAAAAACATTAAAATCAATATTAAACCTTTCTGATCTCCATTTTAGTTAACACTTTAAGATATTTTTGAGAACACTTCCTGAATTTCAAGTGTACTCTTCTAAATAAGAAGCTGTGCTTAGATGATTATTTTTTTCTCCTGGAAGAAACGTGTGATACATTAAGGTACTCAGTTTGCTTTATTAAAGATAAAATATGTCTGTAAAAGTGAAAGTAAAAGAGGCAAAGAAGGCATCTGTCTACCCCTGGGGAAACTTTAGGTGAATTTGCAGCCCTGAGTTGTAAACTATGGTAATTTAGAAGTGAAGTTGATGGATTTTAATTAAAGCCTTCTGCAATCCTTAGTGGCTTAGAGGTGGAAGAACCAGAATTTTGAGGGAGTGAAATGTAACTACAATTTACTTAATTCTTTCGCTTCTAAGTTAGTGGTATCCTCTAGCTTTGGAATATATACATAGATATCTTTGTAAAACTGTAATTTTTCTATTTTTTTTCCAAGAGCTTTTTATTAAAGAAAATTTCAAAATATACAGAAGTAGAGCAAATGGTATAGTGAACACACCCTTCCCTCTAAGCACCCATCACCCAAGTTTAGCAACTATTATTTATAGCCAATCTTGTTTCATCTACACACCCGCCTATTTTCCTGGTCATGCTAGACTATTTTGATTGAAATCTCAGACATACTTTTGTCTGTAAAATTAAAGGATAAGTCTCTAAAAGATACTTTATAATATATTCGCAACAACATTGTCATGCCTACAGGAAAAAAAAGGTATTCAAATATTTCAGACTGCCTTTCTCTATACTTGTTTGGATTAGAATATACGTAAGTTCAATTTATTGCAATTGGTTGATAAGTCTCTTAAGACTCTTTTAATCAATACATTTCCCTCCATCACTTTTTCCCTCCCTTAGAATATTTTGTTGAAAAAAACAAGTTACTTGTCCAATAGAATTTCCCAGTTTTCTATAGTTGTTAGTTTACTGATTGACATAAACCATTACCGATTGGTTACTGAAGTAGCAGTCACAACAGCGCGAATATACTGGGACTACAAGAATAGACCAGGGGACCAGTATTACCTACAACCGATGACCAGTTAGGTAAAAGCACTACTTGTGAGTAAACTAAAGGGGGAAAGCCATTTAAAAAAAAAAGGCTCTACAGCTTAACTATACAAATAGGTGATCATATCTTCTTTTTTCACAGAAGTTTATTAAGCTGCTAATAACCAGTACAAATAGCAAAGCTGACAGTACTCACCAGTCTTCATTTCTAATAAGCGCTTTTTCTTTTGTTGGCGTTCAAGCCTTTCCTTCTCTGCCAATTCTTTGGCTATTTGGGCACGTTTTTCCCTTTCCTCTGCTTCTCTTTTTTTGACATTCTCCTTTCTTGCTTGCTGTTACAAACAAATTGTGGAAAATGATCAATTCTAACCACAGTGATTCCACAAAAATTATTAATCTGTAGAACTGTGATTAAATATCTTTTAGATAATGGCTACTTCTAATATTAGTAACACAGTCTTTTAAAAGATTAGCACAGGAACCCTTGTTAAATATGGATCTATAAATACAACTTATGTTTGAAGCACCTGCATCTTAGTGGAATCAACTAAGAGAAGGGAGACAGAAACTAAAAATAAAAAAGCACTTAATTTACAAATCAAAACTGTTTCCCTATATGTATTTCCAAAAGAGGGTCTAGCAAATGTATTAGAGCCTCCCATACATCCTCTGCTAGGTAACTACTGAGTACCAGAAAAGTAGTCGAAAAAATGATAGAAAAGAGCTGAAATTTTGCAATGATTGTTTCCTATTACAGTCCATCATTTAACAATTTCTTTCACATGAAGCCAAGTGTCACAGGATGACTAGAGGAGTATCTGGCATTTCAAAGCTAGACCTCTGACTTCTCCTCAAAACCAATAACATGTGAACTATAGGATCCTGAACAGATATGTGATTTAATTCTTTATTTTCTAAGTTTTGTACAAATCAAGAAACACCTCTCACATGGCATTAGTGTGAATTAACAGGTAAACAAGGATTTTTCTATGTGCCAACAAACAGCATAGCACATATTACAATTTCCTATTGTGATTCTCAGTACCAAGGGATGCAAACAGACTATCTAATTGCTTGTTTATCACTAATATTAGTGATTAATAGTATTAATATTAATACTATCAATATTAGTATTAAATAGAAACATGCATAACTAAACTTTAACAAGTAGGTGGCTTATGTTATTTTGGGGAGAAACTTTCATTTCTCTACTGTCATAGTCTTTGTTTTTGTTAACCCTAGAGAGGGTACATGGTCTTCATTAGAAATCAAATAGCAAAATTTAATATTATTGACCAAAACGATGAAAAGTACATGGAAAAAAAAGGAGGAACAAAAAGCCTAGGTTAGAAGCAATATTAATTCATCCATCCAGACCTTCATGCAATACATACCGAGACACCGAATAATAAGTGGTATTATGCTAGTATCACTTGGCATATATATATGTGTGTATATGACTTATATATGCATAGATGTATATATAGTTCTAAATAAAACAAGTTTATATTCTGTGTGATAGGGTGGGCCAGGAGGCAAAGACAGACAATAAATAAAAAGAGTTTGATAAATATTGTACCATGAAAAAAACAAATGATGTGATAGAATGCTTGGGGAGGTACTTTACACTGAGGCGGTCAGATAAGGCCTCACTCACTGATTGATTCACGCTGAATCTTCAATATCAAACAGCTAACTAGGTGACAACCTGGGGGAAGAACAAATGCAAAGGCTGTTGGTGCGTTTGAGAGAAAGAGAAGGCCAGTGTGATGGTAGAAGAGGAGGTGAGGAGATATGCTGAAGCCTGATCACTTAGGGTCTTCTAGCCAAGATAAGGAGGTGGGATTTTCTTTCAAGGGAACTGGAAAACAACTGGAGATTTTCAAGCAAGAGAGTGCAAGACCAAGCACTCTAAGGTAAAAGTGCTAATCAAGCACCTTCGTTCCCAACAATCTTTTCAAAGATATATTATGAATAGTCTTGGAAGATAGAGGTAAGGTCTTCCTCTTAAGTAAATGGATTTGTTCACCAGCCAGTATGTAAACTGGGGCAAAGGTTGGGCTGTCTTATTACCTCTTAAAAAAGACTGAGTTCCCTTTATTACCTCTTAAAAAAGACTGAGTTCCCTAAGTTCACGATTTCACTCCAGTAATACAAACCACTGTGCATGTAGGTATTAAACTGGCCTTCTTCACATCACCCTATGGGAATAGAGACTCAGGAATCTACACAACTGTTGACTCTGGCTAGTGCTATTACTGTAATAAATTCTTTGACTCCAGTCTTGTGTCTTCTGCCAACATTCATGAAGTGATGGCAGGCTAACAAGGTAAATTCTCCTATTCCTCACAGTTCATGACATATATTAACACTATTACTGCTAAGCTACGAAACGCCGGCTGCAGTAATAGGTGCTTTCCCATGCAATCCCTCCAATCTTCAAATTGGATTCTGCATTCTCCATTTGACACAGAATGGTCAATAGTTGCTCATTGTAATGAATGTAGGAAGAGGCAGAGGCAGGACGGAAAGCCCGCCTGTGGTGTATGTTCTTTCTACCATGCTGCTTCAGACTTATGGCAGCATATGTTAAGCACCAACTCTAAGACAAAGGCTGCTATAAAAATCAAGATAAGGAAGGTAGGAAAAGGCAGCATAAAAGTAGAAAACAAGTGTGGTTTCAAAGACAAGCATGTATACGTGTGTGCACGTACACACGTATACATGGGTACCCATGTGTGTATAGGTAAGGGAGACAGGGAAGATTGGATTGTGGTAAAGAAAAAGATGGGCAAATATTCAGAAATCAAAACTGTATTTCTTGCTTGAGGGAAATGAGTAAGAGGAACCTACAAAAAATAAAAAATATATATATCATGTAGCTTATTTATTAAACTTATTAAAGTACAAAATTTTCTGATGTAAATTTTCTACTTTAATGACTGGATGCATTTCATTGAGAACATTTAATAGACAACCTATAACCAGACATAATTGCCACACCCTTTTAGTATTCCATTGGGCAAGAAGAAGTCAAAATTACTTCCTGGGACCTATAAAAATAATGTTTACATTTAAGGAATAAGCTCTGTATAGTTCTTAAAGCTGTTTTGTTTTATGGAAAATGCACTACTGATTTTCATTTAAAAGCCAATCTCATTTAAAACATATCTTATTCTGACACTATAACTACTAGAAGAATTTCAGGTGGAAAAATACCAACAGACAGCATAGAAATAGGTATTTAGTCTGAAACTAATATCCCAGTTCAAACAGTAATTGGGAATTTTCTTTTATTCTAAATGTTGAGAAGCAAAAGCAGCCGAAAACAGAAAAGATGAACAGTTAGAAAGCCACAGTATTCTAGATACAACTGCCTCTTAGTAACTTCAATTCTAAATTCAAAGCTAGAAAGAAAAGTTAAAGATGAGCTATACATAAAGATAGCTATAAGACATTGATTTTTTAATCCTCTTTTAACTTTTTATTTTTAGTATAGTTCACACATAATGTTATGTTAGTTTCAGGTGTACAACTTAGTGATTTGACAAGTCTATATACATTATGCTATGTTTCCCTTATTCTTGGCCTGGTTTTCTATTCAGTCAATTGGCAAATAAACCGCACTGCCACCAACTACTTTCAGCTCTGCAATGCCAAAAAAATTTCTCTGGGTGCTTGCAGAATGTTCCCGCGATAGCCTGGCACATGTTCGGGTCTGAAAGATCTGTGGGCAATGACCACAGACGATTTTAAAACTTCAGTCACATTTTGACTGTTCGTTTCAAAGTTGTAATCAATAATTTACCTGAGCTCCTAAAGCTCACATGCATTTTATGGTAACAGCAGACTCTAAAATAGCTCTATAAAAATACATAGGTAGGCTAAAAAATAAGTGTACACAAGAATATAGATATGTCAAATATATGTACATGTGTGTGTTCTAAAAAAAAATGAGCTCACAATTATTTCCCACCTATAATTTGTTTTCTGCATAACAAGAACTTTGCCACGAGTTTCAATATACATTATAGCATCATACATTTTGTCCCAGAGAAACCAAAATGACTCAAAGCCAGTGAATTTCAATAAGCACACACAAGTGTGTGTGTGTTTAGAATTAGAACAGTCTGGCAGAATACGCTGTGACTATTCTCCTAAACATTATCTCTGAGTTGTTTTTTTTTTTAAATTCATCTTTATTACAAACTTCTATGACTTGCTTCTTCCATTCAGCATTATATTTCTAAAACTCATTCACATTTTTATATAAAAATAGAACCTCATTTTCACTGCTTATAATATTAAGTCATTTTATTATTTACTCACCTATGGGTGGGATTTGAACTGCTTTGGATTTTTGGCTATGATGAACAATGCAGATACCAATATTTTTACACATGTCTCCCTGTACCTATGTGTAAGAGTTTTTTAATGGTAGATCCCATTAGCTCGTTCTTAAATCTGTTTAGAAATTGTTGATAGTTTCTTTAAGTGAAAGAGAACAGAACATTTTAGAATGTAACACAAGCAGTAAGTATTCTTTGTTGATGCTTTTTGTTTTTGTTCTAAGGAGTGCTGGGTCCCCCTGTAAAATATTATTTGACAGTGTGGGTTATGACCAAAATAGTTTGAAAGCCGCTGCTCTCTCGGGTCGGAGGAGAGCTGGGTGATGAATAAAAGGAGAGGTTCCTCTTCAATCTTACTAGATGTGTCAAAGCATTTCCTGAGTGGTTGTGCCAAAAGATACAGCTACCATCAGCACGTAATCATAGCCTACATACTAACCAGATTGTTATCATCAGTCTTCTATTTGGCAAGCTTATAACGGTATCACATGGTGCTTTTAACTTGTATTTCTATGGTTACTAATTAGTTCAAGTTGCTTCTCACATGTTTATAAAACATTTGTATTTCTTACTCTGTGAAATGCCCGTTGTATCTTTTACCCACTTTTCCATTAGGTTATCATTTTCTTAATTTGCAGCTCTTTAAATATCTTGGATAGTAATCTTTTGTCAGTTTATTTTATAAATAGATTTTGGATTTTAACTGTCATACTTCATTTACTTATGTAGTCTTTCAGTAAACAGAAGTTCTTAAACGTAGTCAAAAATATCTTTTCTATTACTGCTAGCACCTTTTGTAACTTATTTAAGAAATCCTTTCCTACTTCAAAGACAAAGAGATTCTTCTACACTTTCTTCTTCAAGTTTCAATGATGCTATTCACATTTTAGTACCTACTTTATCTGAAATCAATGTTTTTGAATGGTGTGAGGTGGAAACCCTATTTACTTTTTTCTATGAAGAGTTGAACCATAACTTTTCAC